GGACTGTGAGGGGGCGAGGGTGTGGATGGGGTCGGGGCAGTCAGGGGACTGGGAGCAGGGGGGTTGGATAGGGGGTGGGGTCCCAGGGGGCGGTTAGTGGCGGGGGTCCCGGGAGGGGGTGGATGGGTCGGGGGTTCTGAGGGGGGCAGTTAGGGAGCGGGAAGTGGGAGGGGCAGATAGGGGGTGGGGAGGCACAGCCTTCCCTACCTGGCCCTCCATACAGTTTTGTAACCCCGATGTGGCCCTCGGGCCAAAAAGTTTGCCTACCCTGCACTATATCAATGAGACTATACCAATGAAACAGACACAGCAAGTTAGAACTGTGAAGCCTGAACTGTGAAGCCTTTAGCCTTTTTTGCCGGTACTGGAGATGATGAAAAGTGCTGAGCCCCCTCCGAAGACCTCTACTCCTTCCTACCTCAGGCAGCAGCTGTCAGTTACTGATCTGAACAGGATTGCTGGGGAGACTCAGATTTTTTCAGGGAAGCCTGAGGTCTTTCAGAGCCAGAAGACCTTTTAGCTCCTAGAGTAGTGTGTCTCATAATCAAAGCACTAGTTGAAACCAAGAAGACTGCTTATTAGGAGAGAGCACAGAGTTCAAGATACAAACATGACTTCTCCATCAAAAATCATTTAAATCTGGCATCATGTATCTTTTCAACATGCTTAGAAAGACAGTTTCAAACAGTATACTTACTAGGAGAATGGGTTACTCTGAAATAAGAAGGCATATTGAATGTGCATCATTAGCAAGCACAACTGTTTTGCATCCTGGGCATATTTTAAACCTAGGGATTTGCACTCTGCCATCAGACCTACCCTTGTTACTTAGGCAAGACTGAAAGAAGAAGAGACTCCCAACCCCACCTTTTTTTAAAAACTCAGTGAGCTTAAATGAAACTTAACAACAAACTAATGAACAGATAACTGATTTTTTAGACAAAGAAAATGCAGATCTAATCTACCTGGATTTCAGTAGGCATTTGATAACAGTTCCACATGGGGAATTATTAGTTAATTTAAAAAGATGGGGATTAATACAAGAATTAATACAAGAAAGGTGGGTAAGGAACTGGTTAAAGGGGAGACTACCACAGATCATACTGAAAGGTAACCTGCCAGGCTTGAGGAGGATTACTAAGGGAGTTCTTCAGGGAATAGGGTTATGGTAATATTATATAAGATGATCTGGAGGACCTTGAAAACGAGAGTAATAGAAACAGGATGAAATTTAATCGTGCAAAGTCACGCACTAAGGGACTAACAAAAAGAATTTTTGCTATAAGCTGGGGACATATCAATTGGAAGCAACTGAGGAGGAGAAAGACCTGGTTGTACTGGTCGATGACTATGAGCCACCAATGTGATGTGGCTGTGAAAAAGGCTAATGCAATTCTAGGATGTATGAGATGAGGTATTTCCAGTAGAGATAGGGATATGTTATTACCATTATATATTCATTGGTTCTTCTTTTGTATGACATTTGAAAAGCATCGGGCTGGGATTATAACTGAATTTTAAGATTTGAAAGCCATTCTAAAGTTTCTTGGATAAGCTAGGTGGATCCTCCTTGTACCTCCACTGTAAGCATAAATGGGACAGTTGTTTGTGATGTGTCACATGATTTGTACCTCACCACAGTCACAATTTGGTGATTCTTTGATTTTCCATTTGTGGAGAAAATATCCTCGCCTGGCGATGAGACCTCATCTGGGATACTGCGTAATTCTGGTCTCCTGTGTTTGAAAAAGATGATTTCAAACTGGAACAGGTGCAGAGAAGGATGATCAGAGGAGACTTAAGGAGCTTTGTTTAGCCTAACAAAATGAAGGCTGATGGGAGATATGATTGCTCGCTACAAATACATCAGAGGGATCAGGGAGGGAGAGAAGTTAAGTGCCTATGTTGGCACAAGAACAGATGGATATAAACTGGCTACCAACATGTTTAGGCTTGAAATCAGACACATTTCTAACCACCAGAGGAGTGAAGTTTTGGAACAGTCTTCCAAGGGGAACAGTGTGGGCAAAAAAACTAAATGGTTTCAAGACTGAGCTTGGTATGTTTATGGAGTGGATGGTATGATGAGATTGCTTACAATGGCATGTGGCCCACCTGCGACTGCTAGTAGAATATATTCCCATTGGCTGGAGATGAGACACTAGGTGTGAAGGGCTCTAAGTTATTACAATGAATTCATTCCCAGGTGTCTGGCTGGTGGTCTTGCCGATATGCTAAGGGTCTAACTAATGGCCATATTTGGGATTGAGAGGGAATTTCCCCCCAGGGCAGATTGGCAGAGCCCCAGGGGTGGGGGGGGGGTTGTTTTCCTTCCTCTGAAGCATGGGTCCTGGGTCACTTGCTAGTTTAAATTAGATTAAATGGTGGATTCTTTGTAACTTGAAGTCTTTCAATCATGATTTGAGGACTTCAGTAACTCAGGCAGAGGTTATGGGTCTATTACAGGAGCTGGTGGGTGAGGTTCTGTGGCCTGCGATGTGCAGGAGGTCAGACTACATGATCATGATGGTCCCTTTTGGCTTTAAAGTCTGTGACTTTAACTATCTATTACCCTAATTCTAAGCAAGGAGCAGGAGGACACTGTAGTTCTGACTTGCTTGCATGGGAGGTCAGAAGGAATAGAGTGGCAGGTTGAGGCTGCTCCATCCTTTATAATCTTGCTGTAGGTGGCATGAGGGTGTACAAGGTGCATGAACACCCCCTAAAGGACACTGCTGACTAAAAGATGCACAAGACGCATACACCTTCAGTGGGATCTGTGTGGAAAATTGCTTGAAGAAGAACTTGCTCTTTGCTGCTTACAGGTCTGGTTTAATCCATTCAGCTCTCATGTTTAGATTCAGTAAGTGTTCAACCATTAAGACCATTTCAAACGAAGGAAGTATTTTTGTCATTCAGGGAGTGCCTTCGAAAAGAAATAGTGTTTTCTAAGGACAGCATATTAATAAAACAAGCTTCTTTATCATTTTGCAGCAAAATACTGCAATTTAGCATGGATTGCTGGTTGTAACCTGTAATGCTGTTTTTCTCTTGAGCATTATGGTTTTGTTGCTAGCATCTTTAAAAAAGGATTTGAAGTAAAGGGTATACAAATCAACAATGTATTGTTCTCTAGCATTTAAAATGAAATCTTTACTTTGTAAATGATACTCACTTCTCATCAATAATCAATAAATACCAATTTATTATGGATGTCTGGCAAACAGATGACTACTCTATTTTGCATTTATATCTCTACCAATTGATCAGTATTAAAAAAAATTCTTTACTATATTTGTTAAAATGTTCACTATGCTATTTTAGGAGATTTGTAACTCCCAACCCATACATATTAAAATAAAGACATTCCTGTATTTGGTTTACAAAACCTGATGCAATTGCAGACATATATTTTGTTTTGTGTAACCCAGCGACTTGGTACAGCTAACACAAGTTCTAGACATAAGATCTGTCTCATTCCAGGGAAAAACAAACATATTGTAATCCATCACAACCTATTTGAAGGGACCTGGTGAAGACTGATAGGCCATGAAGTTGATTTCCCTTCCCCATCTAAAATGACTGATCTTCCAGATTTTTTCTGTGCATTTCAATTTCCAATTAACTTTTGCAAATGCAAGAACACATTTAAAAATAGCATGCAACTTGTAAGACAAACACACCACACACATACAACACAACAGTAGTCTATTAGAGAAGAAGTACAAGAGAAATATTTCAATGATTAGTTGTGTATCAGTAATTTCCTGGTGATTTACATATTACTAATTACATTTGATTCTTCCTGTAAAACTGCTTTCAACTTGCCACGTTCAAAACATGGTACAATCCTAGAAGCTGACAGTTTGCCTAATGTTGAACCTGACTAAATATAAAACAGTGAAATGTGTCTTGTAGTTAGAGTTGCTTTTGTTCTTGCAAACTGTTATTGGAATAGCTAGTTAAACTCTAATGGCCAGTTCTTTAGCTGGTGTAAATTGATGTAGCTCTACCGAGGTCAATGGGGCTGCACCAATTTAAGGCAGCCAATGTTAATCTGGCACCAGATGTTAAAGGCAAGTTAATGCCTTTGTAGCATATTTAGCACTGTGCTAATAATTGGTCAAATTGTCAAGTTATTTGAAAAATACAGAATCTACAGCATTTCACCTTGGATTATGATCTTGTCAAGTCTCATAGACTAAGCAGGGTTAAGCATAGTCAATATCTGTAAGAGAGAACTCCATGGAAAACTGAATGCCATAGGAAGCAGTGTTGGTGTTTCTTATAAAATAATTCCTCTTTGACTAAATTCACAACTAAAAATGTGTTGTACAGTATTTTAAACATTCCTAAATTGCTACAGACTGAAAACATTCATAGTTTGCTACAAATTCATATTTCCTGATAGCAAGTTAAACAGATATAAATACACCACAATACAGTACATAAATGGGAAAGTGTATATTATTGTAATTCCTGGCTTCATTATTTAATTTTTAGCACCTAAAGCAAAGTATGCTGAGATATTTCCTTATTTTTCCCGATAAATTTCAGCTGAAAACTACATGTGAAAACTATCACCTACATGTAGAGAAATATTTATTCTTTATCAAAAGAAAGCTTTATGTGTTATCAAATTCCAGTATGCTTGCTTCTGCTCATCTCCAACTGTGGTAAAAGATGGAGAAAGACCTCCCTCTGCCCTCACTTTGTTTACCCACACAGGGTCAGATAGAATCAGTCATCCCAATCCCGCAAGCCTTCCCACATGGAACTCCTTCTGAAATCAGCAAGAATTCTGTATATGGGGGATTGAGGAGCTCTTAGTTACACAGGATTTATACTGGCGTAAATTAGAGCAGATTATGGCCCTTAATTTATACATCTATGATTACTATTCTTTTTTATAACTAAAAAAGTTTTCCAAAAGGGCCTAAAACAAATGCATAAAGTATTCTTCTTCATAAAAATGTCTAAAGAAACATACATATATTTACCTTAAAATAGTTATGGAGTTCATTTGCAAGAAACTGATAAAAAATCTCTCTTTCAGCAGATTCAATCAGGCGATCATGGAATACTCGGGTTGTTTCATGCACAAAGAGAAGAGCTGCAGTTTCATTTGAGACAATAACAGACCTGTGGGCTTGCAACAACCCCTGGAGCACCTGTTAGCAATTTTAGTACATCATGTTTATATAAAGTTTTAAATTACCGGTAATTGGATTACTAAAAGAGATCCTGGTATGTTTATTTTTAAACTACCATATACTGTATTAAGCTTTATCAACAGTAGTATCATACATTTTAATCAGAACTAAAGCATTCAAATATCTCTTACTTAAGGTATGTGTTTTCTTCTCTGGGACATGCATTCAAGGGAGCAGGAGGGTACAAGAAGCCTTCTCCTACATTATACCTCCCACACAAGGGATGGTAACATGACAGTTCCTGGGCCATGACCATGCTTACAACATCATGCTAGCCAGGGAAGTTGGGAGGACATGAAACAAAGTGCACATTGCATCCCAGATAGGATGTAGCAGCAGGTATATCTTCCCTGGGCATCAGGAACTACAGAAAATATTGTGCCTCTTGAGGCACAGTGGGTCCAGGAGTCCTAATGGGGTGGCGCAGTTCAATCCAAGCCCTACCACAGGACTGTTGGTATAAGCCAGATGACTGTCCATATTTGGTCAGCCATAAGCATAAGCAATGCAAGTGACTTCCTGGGGTACTTTTTGCGATGTTGGACAGTTTGCGACACATGGAGCTTACATGAGCCAACTTTCCATGCATACTAGGAATAGAAGCAACTCCTGACCTAATTATTTCCCCTTTCCCATCTTCCCTGGCAGCATGAGGCCCTGAAAATTCATAAAATAGCTCTTGTTTGAGTTCCATTACTATAAGATACTGTAGTATTTTATTTTATAAGAAATACCACACTTGCTGAAATCACAATTTATTGAAACTTTTAATAGTGCATGAAAATGTTTTTATATCTGTAGATCATGCACAACAGGGACTGATGTATATGCTCAGCCTTGAGTCAAACTTTAATCTTTTCAGTAAATGAATATACTCAAAGGGTTATTGAGCCCTGGTATAAGTGGAAGCACAACTTCATTGAAGTCAATGGAGTTGTGCCTTATTGTCGCAGGGCTGAAAATGGCCAAAATTATTTAGTTCCTAGATATTTGTTTCTAATGTTAACACATCTTTTTACTGAAGGCAATAAAGGTAAGATACAACAATATATACCAGTGCACAAGTAAGTGAGATATAGTATATAGCGCTCATGGTATGGCCACTCTCGTAGGTAGCAACAAATACTTTTAAAACGAATAATTTGCAGTCTGAAGGAGACTATCCCATTTCGCCCTCTGTTTTCTTCAATTTATTAATAATTATTTCTGAGTGATCTTGGCAATTCTGAAAGCAAAGACTGGATTATATGGAAATCTCCAAATTTATTTTCCTTGTATGTCATAAACCAAATTGAAACTATCATAGGACTCCAGATGGCAAAACTAATTTAATAATCTAACTCCAAGAACCAGGCTACATTCAGTAGACAAAATTATATATGCTCTTGCTTGTTCACTCTGCACAAAAATTGAGAATACTTTTATGGCAATCTAAAATGTCTACTGCAGTATAACACACCTTGAAGAGATCTCGTAGATTAAATGTATAGTGGCACTTAGCTGGCGTTGGGAGCATGCTGCGGCACATACTATAGTATACAGCTATGGAAGAGGAAGTTAGAAAGTCATTGCATTTCTGAACCTCAGATAAGAATCTGTTGTTATACAAGTATGTTCCCAGATGAACCTAAAGAAGAAAAATGTATATGATTTAGTTACCACTTCTTAAGAAAGGTTTAAGCATATTGCTAACTGCTGAAATATAACAAATTTATAAGACAAAAAGCAGCAATTTTCATTATTATTTTAACAGGAAAAGACACTCTTACTTACCTGCACAGTAACTTTGCTTCTTCAAGATGTGTTGTCCACTGCTGTTCTGTGTCCAGTGCATTTAAGCAAGAGACTTTTGGTCAGCAGTACCTGTTTGGGTGAGGCATGTGACTCAGGGTCCTCATGCCCCCAACTGAGGGCATAAAAGATTGGGCCACTCAAACTGCCCCACCCCCAGTTCCTTCATCACCGAAATCCTTATGAAAATAGTAGCAAAAATGTAGGGCACGTTATGGAATGTGTATGTACAGGTAAGTAACTGTTTCTTCTTCGAGTGCATGTGCACATATATATTCCATTGTTGATGACACCCAAGCAATAGATATGTTGGAAGTGGGAACCAGTAGTCTTTTAAAACAAAGCCTATAGAACGTCTTTCCCAAAGTTCACATCACTTCTAGATACAGCCCCACATTCACTCAGCATTATGCCATTGTGGAACCAAGACCTACCGATGTCCACAATAGGAACATTCCTTAGAGAGAGTGAGCATCTTGAGCTCTAGTAGAAGAGGCAATAATCCTAGGGGGTGGACTTTGCATTAGCCAGTTCGTAACAAATTTTGTTGCACAGAGAGATCCAGTTATAGATTCTGTGAGGCACAACAGTCTGACTGTTCATTGTCTCTGCATATACAAGAAAGAGCCCGAGAGACATTTTGAACTGTTTCATTCTATCTATGTAAAAGGAAAGTGCCCTATAGACCTCTAAAGAATGCAGTCTCTTGTCATCCTTGTGAGTTTGGGATTTCAGAAAAAAACATCAGCAGATTAATGACCTGATTCAAGTGAAAATCGAAAACCACCTTCGGTAAGAATTTGGAACGGACCTTTAATGAGACATTAGATTTACGGAAGAAACTATATAAATGTCCTGCCATCAGGTACAGTAACTCCCCTAATTTCCTTGCTAATGCTATTGCCAACAAAAATGCTGTCTTTGCTGACAAGTGAAATAGACCAAGGTGGAATCATGAGACCTGATGTGGTGGGGCAGTGCCCTACCCCCTGAGAAAAAGGCTGGAACAGGCCTTTCAGGCTGCGCAGGGCTGCAGCCAATCAACAGAGGCCTGTTAGGAGCCAATCAGGGCAGGGAAGAGGCAGCCAATCAGGGCTGGGTTAAGCCCTATATAAAGGCTGCCTAGCAGGTGGAAAGGCAGTCTCTTCCTGACTGCCAAGGGAGGAGGACTGGTTCCTAGGCTGAAAGGTAGCACTTTGGACAGAGCAGTGCTGGGGAAGGGCAGAAGGAGCTGGGGAGCTCCAGCCAAGGAAAACCCCAGGCTGCAGGCCTTGTTACAAAGGGTTGAGCGGGTGCACACGGCTGAAGGGGAAGCGGCCCAGGGACAAAAGTCTGAAAAGGGGAGAGAAAGAGGGCAGGGAGGCTGCTGCTAGAGGGTCCCTGGGTTGGGACCCAAAGTAGCGGGTGGGCCTGGGTCCCCCTCTTCCTCCTTGTACTACACCTGGCTGAGGAGGAGCGTGGCCTGATACAGGCTGTGGCTGGCCCCTGTGACAAAGAGGTTAGACTCTGAGGCTGCAGCTGGCCACTAGAACAGGTGCATATGGAGGTCTTCTGATAACACCAGACCCCTGGAAGGGGGTGAGACCAGAGCAGTGGGCACTGCTGGAGGGCAGTGTCCTGAAGAGGCTGCCGCCGAGCAGGGAGCAAAGCGGGTCCGGACACCAACAGGGGAGCAGACGATGGACGGGACACCAACAGCAGAGGGCGCCCCACAGATGACAGAGCTAATTCCCAGACGTGCCAGCGGGAGGCACTGCGGTGGTGAGTCCCAACCCCATCACACCTGCCAGGACTAAATTAAGCTCCCAGGAAGGGACTGGTTTTCTTACTGGGGGATAAACCCATATCAGACCTTTTAAAAAAATCTTGCTACCATAGGGTGGGAAAAAACAATGTCCATGAATACGGTGTTGGGAGGTTGAATGGATGAGGTTTGAAGGTCTAAGTACCAAAACTGTGTTGGCCACACCAGGGCTATTAATATGATACTGGCTACTTCCTGTTTGAATTTTCTGATGGTTCTGGGATTGGAGAAAATACATATAGACATTCCAAACACCATGAAATCAGGAATGCATTGGAAATTGACCCTGAATTCTGTCTTCCTTTGTCACAGAAACAATGACACTTCTTGTTTTCTTTGATAACAAACGGATCTATGGTGGGAAAACCATATTTGCTGAAAATCATTTGAAACCCCATATCCTTTAGAGTCCATTTGTGATTGTTGATTGATTTTATGCTGAGGCAATCTGTCAGAACTTTCTGCACTCTGGGGAGATCAAATGCCTTGAAAGTGACCCGATGACAAATGTAGAAGTTCCAGACACATACCTCCTGACTTAACTGAGTGGATTTTGACCTGCCTTTTTAGTGCAGGTAAAACACTGCAGCCCTATTGTGTGTTATAATCTTTATGGTGAGGTCCTTGTTGAATAGTAGGAAGACTTTGCAAGCTCAATAAATGGCTCTCGGTTTTAGGGTGTGTAAATGAAGAGCTGACTCCTGAGGTGTCCACAAGCCTTGTGTTTGCACATCATCCAGGTGTGCTCCCCAGCTCAGAGTGGATGTATCTGTTACAAGCATCTTCGATGGAACTGGAGGAGAAAAGGGGATTACCTTGCAGCATACATTACTGGATTCATCCATCATCTTAATGAGGCTAGGACTCAAGATGCAATGTGAACTAACATGTCCATGTGATGTTTTCTCGGCTGATACAGACTTCAACCACCTTTGCATGCAGCACAGGTGAAGTCTGGCATGCTGAGTCACGTAAATACAGAAGTCCAGGTGGTCGAGCAACCTGAGGCAAGATCTTGCAGTTGTTCTCAGATAAACCTGCAGATTATTGCATAAATTAAGCCTAGCTGGATGTTTTTTCTGGAGGCAGATAGGCAATCTCCTATTGTGGAGTCCAGAATGGCCCCAGTGCACTCTATTCTTTACACAGGACACAGAACTGACTAGTCACTGGTTATTTTCAGGCCAAATCAAGCAAAGAGAAACTGAATTTGAAGGATATTGTCCAAAACTTGCAAACTGGATTGACCCTGAATTAACTGGACATCCAGATATGGAAAAACATGGATACCTAGCCTTCTGAGATCAGAAATTATTACTGATTTAAAGGTGATCTAGATGATCCCTCCCCATCCCTGAGTGGAGTTGTCTGTCACTAGAGTTTTAGTATGTAGAGGTGTAAAGAAGGGTACTGCATTGCACACCTGAGGAGGGTCTTTCCACTAGTTTAATGATGACTTCTTTTGGGATCATAACCATCAAGTCCATAAAGTGTCTGCTGGGTAGACACAGTGATTTCAACCCCCTTACATGGAGTGTAGGTGAAGTTTGGCATGCTAGGTGACATAAGTATATGAGGTCAAGTGTGTTAGAAGTTTGAGACATGCTTTCACTGATGTTCTTGGGTGAACTTCAAGTTGACTGATAAACCTTGCTATTGTCTGGGCTCTCCCTTTGGAAGATAAGCTATCACTGTCTGGAGTCTAATAGGATTCCTATGAACTCTATCTATGCATCACTGAGTGTGGATTTTTGTCTATTAACTTTGAGACCAAACAAGGCAAAGAACTTTAGAATTACTTGGACTGAGTCAATCACCTGTTGTGAAGCTCTTCCTCTAATCAGTCAGTTGTTGAGGTAAGGATAGATCTGGATTCCTTATCTACCTGGATGAGTTGCCTATACTGCAAGGTACCTGGTGGAAACCCTCGATGCTGCAGATAGCCCAAAGGACAGAGCCCTATTCTGATAGTGGAATGTTCCTAAAGGAATTTGAGGTATTTCTGTTGGTTGGGTGGATAGATATATGGAGGCAGGCATTTTGTAGGCGAAGAGCAGCAAACCAGTCCTGATGATCTAATGAGGGAATTTATGGAGGCTAGAGTCACCATCCTGAATTTGAAACAATGGATGAACATTTTGAGGCACTGAAGGTCCAGGCTAAGCCACAAACTCAATAGTTCTTCTTTGGGATCAGTAAATAACGTGAATCAAAGCATCTTCCCCTGAAATGTAAGGGCACTTCCTCCTCCACAGTTCCCAGCTATAGAAAGGAGTTTACTTGTTTTAACAGTCTCTTGTGAGAAGGATCTCTGAAAAAGGACAGGGAAGGGATGGAAGGGATTGCTTATGATCTCTAGGTCCCACGAGTCTGAAGTAATGCTTGCCCAAACTTCTCAAAAATAAAAATGGTTGTTCCCAAGGGATGGTGTGAGGGTAGAACAAAAAAGATCCTCAAGTGGTTCTAGCAGGATCTCAATGCTGGAGTCAACCCTGGGGCAGCAAAGGAGGTAGAGGGTCATTTACACAGGAATCTCTGTCTCTTCTTCAGTGGCTCTTAGGTCCTCTGTGGCTGATTATAATATTTGACAGAGGAGTGCTGTCGAAAGTATGCTGGCATGGCCGCTTCCTCTTTAGAGTTGGGATGTAGAGTCTCAAAGAATGCAGCGTTGCCCTAGAATTCTTTAGAGGGTGCTTCCTCTGTCTTGTTGTTGAAAAGTTCATTATTCTCAAATGTGAGGTGCTCAATTGTTGCCTGGATCTGCCTGGGGATCCCTAAGGACTGAAGCTATAACAATAGAGAAGTACATAAAGTCAGATGTCCTTCTGCCATTGTATATTTCATCTCCGCTTGCTACTCTTTGGATAGTTGTCTATAAATCGAGACATTGTCTCAATGAAAAAAAATCTTATTTTGAGAGGGCATAATAGTTAGCCATACCTCTGGAGCATAGTTGATGAATACAGCTTAAGGCTAAAGAGTTTCAATTTCTTTGGGTCCTTTTTGCTCATTGTGGACTTGGGAGGGCTAGA